GTTATTTTATACTTNNAAAATTGATTTAACTCGAATATAAAATTTATTATATTATATACTTTAAGACTAATTTATTATTTTAAATTAGTACTGATATATATATATATATATATATATATCATTTTATATCAATATAAATAATTATATTTTTATTTTATTGCAATATATGGGTCAACTCAAACATCATTGAAAATAAATGATGTGATATATTACATATAAAAAGGTAACAAGTAAAAAATATGAAGTATTTGAAAATTAAAAAATTTAATGATAGAAAGTAATAAAAATCTTAACTAAAAAATTTTAAGATTAACATACCCACTTTTAAAGAAATATACATATGAATATATATATATATATATAAATATATATATATATAAATATATATATATATATATTATTATGTACTTAAAAGTTCTAGCTAAAATATAAGAGTATGTCTTATATTTATCATTAGCCAGCTCCAATTGATATTGTACGTTAAGTAATTTTTCAGCATTTTTACTTTTGGATTTAATGAGAGTTATAAGTTTTGTCATTTTTCTTACCCCTTATTTAGTTATTACAATACAAATAAAATAATTAAGGACCTTTCAAAGTATCTTGTTAGCTTTGAAAAAAAAATAATTCTTATCATCAATTGAACGTCAATTACATTGAATGTGTTATATTTTCTATCGTATCAAAAATTTTCATAATAATAGTTGCACACAATATTATATATAATGCATTTTTTTTTTTATAGATTTAGAGTCTTAGTTTTACTACAAGAAAATGAAAAAATTCCAACAAAAATTACAACAAATATAACAATTTTCTTATGTTTTTTTTTTTCCGGAACGATAGAGATAACTATTACTCAAAGAAAAGAACAATGTTTAAGTACAAATCACAACTAGAGCAAATCGAAAATTGAGAGGACACGCTTGCAAGCGGCCTAGAACCTCAAAGCAAATAAAACCAAACTAATGAAACTTAGAACTTCCCCACTGCAGCAAAGCCTAGGGAGACTAAGAACCATCAACAAACCTAACTAACAGCCAAGAAACCAAACAAAAACAAACAACCCAAAGATACAAGAAAACAGAAAGATAGAAAACTAAGATGAAGCTGCTGCTATGTAGTCCAACCAGTCTTTGTGAGCTATGCTGATTAATTGATGTGCTGGAATCTGAACATTTTGAAAAAGCCACAAATTCCGGGATTTCCAGAGCCACCAAAGTATGTAGGTTGTTAGTTGGATCCTAGCTTCAGAAGTTTCAGACTTGTTGAGGGAGCAAACATCAAACCACCATCTTCTGAAGGAAACAGGATTCTGCTTCAAAGAATTCCAAGGTACAAGAGCTAAATCCCAAACTCTACATGCTTTAGGGCACAGAAATAGGATATGTTCAATAGTCTCTGCTTCAGAACCACAAGTATTGCAGATTACATCAATGTCAAGACCTTTCTTCCGCAGTTTGGTCATAACAGGAAGAGTACCATTTATGCACTTCCATATGAAGTGTTTAAGTCTTCCAGCCACTTTAATTTTCCAGCATCTAGAGAGACCAACACTGAGAGTACCTGGTGAGGAGCTGCTACCAGGGATGTCCATAGCAAGGAGCTTTTGGTTTGAGAGGAAAGAATAAGTACTGGCAACAGAGAAGAGGCCCTTCTTGTCCAGCTTCCAGTACAGCCTATCAGGGTGATTTGGTTTGAGAGTATTGATGGCCAGAATAGCAGAGCTGTCCCCAGGATCAAAGACTTGGTTGACTAACCAGGAATTCCAACCAGTGCCTGAGTCATTCATGAGATCTTTGACCCACACTAGGTGATCTCTAGCCAGCTCCATCAAAGCAGGCTTAGGTTTGTGAAGGTTGGGCACCCAGTTAAAGTCAGAGATCTTTGTTGATTCACCATTCCTTACTTCTATAGCTAAACCCTGAGCAAAAGTAGGAACCACTGCAAGCCAGTTAGACCAAAGCCAGGAGCAATTGTGAGGTTTTGTAGCTTCAAAGATGGAGCAGTGAGGATAATATCTGTCTTTGAGGATTCTACTGACCAATAAGTCAGGGTTTGTAGTTATCCTCCAAAGCTGCTTACAAATGAGGGCAGTGTTGAAAAGTTTGATGTCCAGAAAGCCTAACCCACCACTGTTCCTAGGCAAAGACATAGAAGCCCAGGATTTCCAGTGAATTCCATTGGGTTGATCTTTCCCATTTTGCCACCAGAATTTAGAGCACAACTTGGAAATTTGACAGCAGACAGAAGCAGGGAGTCTGAAGCAAGACATGGAAAACACTGGCAGAGCTTGGA